GTGTCTATGGTGTAATAATAATGATGTGATTGTGATGCTGTAATTCTGAGTGTGCTGTAGAACAGGAACCTGCTGTAAAACAGCAATTATGCTGAGTCAGGCTTGATTTTTAATAATCTTTTCCTGTTAAATAAATAAATCAAATCAAATCAAATCAGACACCGGCAACATCTGCAAGTTCTTAATGGGAATATTTAGTTAAGAACATGGGCAGTACTTTAAGTAAGTAAGTACTTTTGCTGCAGGATGATGACATCATAACAAAAGCTGCACACCAACAGCAAACATTCTTTTTTTTAAATTTAAATAAAACATTCTTAAACATACTCTTTCTCATTAGGCTGCAATATTTAAGATTTAACTTTTACATTTAGATTTAGGATTTACCATTTACATATAACATCTATCCATCCATTATCTTAACTTGATTAATATTTGGTAAAAAAAAAAAAGAAGAAGCTAAATGTAAGTGCAGTGAGCTGGGTAATAAAAATGGGTTAGTGATTTTTTTTAAAACATTTTATTTTACACTTAGCGTCCCAGAGATGTCTTTCCTTAAAATTACCTTAAAAGAATTTGGTGGGAATGTTCCTCTAACTTTATCAACTCCGACTGCAGTTCCTGCAACACCGAAACACAGTGAGTGGGCTGGGAAAACAGCTAATTACAAATCAATCATTAGGATACTTTAGAAGCTGTGACAATTAGTTTTAAATCCTCTAAATTAAATTATTTTATGTCAAATGTACCTCTATCATTGTGTGACTCTCCAGATGAAAGTTCTTCATTTTCTCCAAAAAAATGTCTTTCTGAATCGCAAAATTAAGAAGTGAATTCAAAACCCCAAAACAATCTCTTCCACACAAACACAAAAAGACAAACCTTTATTGTTTCTTTCTCTCTCAGCACCAACATAAGCAGAGTTTCTTCACGTTCAGCCTGTGAAGATTCACATTTAGATATTTAACTCGAAATATAAGCACATAACACCGAAACAAACTCACTCGTACCCTCAACTCAGTGTTGACCTTCCTCAGTTTGTTGAGATTGTCTTCAGCACAGGAGCGTTCAAAGGAGAGTTTTTCATTCTGTGTAGCAAAAAACAAACATTTTCATCATAAAGTTACGACTATTGTTTGTTCAAAGGTTAAATAGGATGTTATAACCGATGAACATCACCTTGTCTTCGAGTTCTCTGATATAAATCTTGAGATGTTCAACTTCTCTGGTCTGATAAAAAGAGAGTCACGTGAAAAAAGATGGCCAAACAAAGAGGAGTTTGATCATTTTGATGTTTCTGTTTTGAGCTGCTGAACATTTGAAATACCAGTTCTGTGAAGCTCCCCTGAGTGCGAATGACTCTTTCCTGAGCCTCTTTTAACATCTGATGAGTCTCCTCCAGTTCTTCTGTCAGGGATCGAGCTCTGATGGCTGAACGCTGAACACTGAACTCACACACATACACAGAGCTTTACAATGCACACACCTCTAACTCACATCCAATGTAAAAAAAAAAACAAAACAAGAAAACTACATTTATAAATATATAATGAAATTCAAGAATTAAAGGAAACACATCAGGTGCTCTTTCACCTGACCAGCTTTGTTTGCAGCTCTGTGACCTCAGCACTGAGCTGCAGGTTTACATCTTCACACTGGGCCAACATCCTCAGCAGACTGCTTTTCTGCTCGCTCAGCTTACGGTTAGCGTGCTTCAGCTCAGCCACAGCACCTGACAGGTCCTGTCCTTCACTGGAGCCAAACAAACTGTTAGTGGTGACGTACGACAGCAAACTGATTGGAACACAAGCTGTAAATGAAGGAGTGACAAAACGAACCAGAAACACTGTTGGACCTCTGAGAAAACAGCTTTGCCGTCAGAAACTGGTGAATCCAGATCTGAAAGATCATTAGATTAAGTTATTTTTTAAATCTAATTAAGACATTTATTAGAAGTCTTAAAAATAGTGAGATGCTACCATTTAATGGCATCGCTATGGCATCTGGCCAGGAAACATGGTTGACATCCACATCTGAGCTGAAGTCAAAAAAGTAAAAAATATAAATAAAAATACTGGGTTTATTTGCTTCTAAATGCACAAAATTTCTTGCTGGTAATCTTTAGATTCATTTCAATATGTTTATCAGCATTATTATCAGAGCACAGACTCACCTGTTCTGACTGCACTGAGTAATCCATGCCCTCATGATGGAGTGGAAATTGTCTCGAGACACATGTGGGTTTTGTTGGTTTGGATCGAGCAGCCGCTGCAGGGCAGCCAGTCTGTCCTCATCTGCAGTCTGAGCTGCCAGTGTCTGCAGGTACTGTACAATGGTGGAGGCCAACACTTCTCCTAAGGACCAGAGGGAAAATGGTCAAGTTTCACACAATGATGTTCGGGTGAAAATCTACTCAGTCAGATACCTGTGTTTCTGGTGTTGATGGTGTTATACATGAAATCAATGAGCTCATATTCAGAGAATCTGTTTGTGTCTTGACTCTCATCAAGAATGCCCTCTGTTCCAGAGCCTGGAGAATCCACAGCTTTAAAAACAAGATGCACAAACATTATTTTTATTACACTACACATGTACTCTGAAGAAATTGCTGTTGTGCAACACTTACCAACATGGCTGTCAGACATTATGATTTTTCTGTTAAGGTTTTTCAGAGGAAATGTCCTCATGGATTTTCAAGCTCTTACATGGCCTGATATTTCAATAAAAATCATTAACAAAATAAATATATAAAAATTATTTATAAAAAAGTATTTTCATAGCTACAATACATGCTAAAACCCACTGAAAGACAGGTCATGAAATAACATTAGCAAAGATTAGCATAAAAACATTATCAGAGCTAAATAATGGAATATAAAAACTCACAAATGGCTAAACAAAATATCTAAAACAAAGCTATTTGTCTTGCATTTACAAGAATGACAATGATCGTTTTCAAAGTTAAAATTATAAGCTGTAAATTAGCAATCAAACTTTTTTGAAGGAAACAAATGTGAAAAAGGATTTCTTACTTTTTTTGTCCAAACAGTTCTTCTGCAAAAGAAAAAAAAAACATGTAAAAATGTTAAATTAGTGCCTCTGTTCATTCTTATCAGTCTAATCTTTCACTGCTGCCTGAGATGCTTGTATGCTGGTTTTCACTGCTTCGTGTCAACAACAGCTGGCATTTTCTGTCTCTCTTTCTAGTCTCTCTCCTCCTTCTCTTAAAAGAGATGCCTTGCAGAAAATGCATTGCGTGGGTTTAATTTAARTAACTATTTTACACATTAAATGTAGTTAGATAATTTTTGAAAATTAAACTTACAGTGCATAATACATAGGTAAAAATATCTTTCTGTATTGTTTCCTTCAAATATTCAGGTTTAGTTTAAATATAAAGTATCTAAAAAAGACTTTTTTTTGGATAAAATGTTAAATTGTGCAATTGTTGGGAAAACGTGTTTTCTAAGTCTGTTTTCGWCAGAGCTCCTTGGAGGAACCGTTTGGTCTGTTCACCAAATCAGCCGGACATAATTCCGGTTACACAGGCTGTGGTGCGCTTGTTTCTTGTCGGAAGCTTTAAGTAGCTACCAGCAYGAGACGGAGTGGGATATTCTGTACTAAATTAATACATATCTGACTCCAGAAGGTTTTATCCTTCAAATTCAAGATGTCTCGGGGCTCCATAGAGATTCCTTTGCGGGACACAGATGAGGTAAAAGATAAATTATGTATTTGTTTTGGTGCAGATGTTTGTTTAGACACCTTGCTGTTACGTTAGCAGTTATGCTAACTCTTTCTGCTCGGTCGGTCCTCGCAGTGACAATTTAATAATGTGGCGTCGCGGCTTTAGTTTCAGATATTTGCAAGTCAACTTGTCATTTAAGCGATTATTAGGTTCTAAGAAATGAATATAAGAGTCTTGAAGTTAACTAAAGTTTATCAAAAAGCTCAAGTTCTTGTGTACAGCGCATCTCTGTCATTCTTTTTCAAAAGTTACACACTTTTCCTAATCTGCTATACCAATATTTAGAGCTACAACAGCGTGTTTCAGATTGATTCTAAATCCTTGTGAACTTAATTATATAAGCATGAAAAACTTCGAGGGAGAGTCATTTAAATGTGAGCAACATCACCAAATATTAAACTAAACAAAAAACAGGAACACTCGTGTAAAATAAAATCTGATAATTATTTTAAATAGGTAGTCTATGAACAAATCTTGAATTCCTGAGCCATATCATTGTAGTGTATATTAGAAGTTATCGGTTTATTTAGTAAACCACCTGTAATCTGTGTGTCTTACATGGGTTTCCCCGATTAATTAAACTGCAGATGATTTAAAAAATAACTTTAATAAATACAGATGAATATAGACTGTTTCATCTATGAAATATCTAAGAAGAAATATCTCAGTGTAAGATAGCATTTCATAATGTTTATTAAACAGATATTAAATTTGTTGCATAGTTGTTTCATTGTTTTCTTTTTAAATCCAGCAAATCAATTCATGTAATAATTAAATAATGGCCAATTTATTATTTTTATTAACAGTTTCTACTGACTGCTCAAAAACTGTGTTTTAAACGTTTCAGCCAAATCTAAAACAGTTGACAAATCTCTGCTGTTGTCACCAATCTCTAGCTCTCCTGAATGATGCATACGGTAAGGGTTGAACTTTATTTATCAGCACTGTAACAAACTGTTGTGTTTAGGTTATTGAGCTCGACTTTGACCAGCTGCCTGAAGGAGATGAGGTCATCAGTATCTTGAAACAGGAGCACACGCAGCTGCACATCTGGATTGCTTTGGCGGTGAGTCAGTCCATTAATCTGCAACTACACTGTCTCTTTTGCCCTTTTTTTAATTTCAATTTTTTTCCTGAAATGACTTTCTTTAAATCTGTCTTTTTCTTTTGTTTAATCAGTTACCGGCGGCTCAGTGAGGCTTTTGATTGAAGTGAAAAATGTCTAAATGAACACAATCTAGATTTCACGTTCAAATCATGTAAAGTTGTGTGACATTTAATGTCAGTGTACATCCTCGTCTTTTTCAGTTGGAGTACTACAAACAAGGCAAAACAGAGGACTTTGTCAAGCTTTTAGAAGCTGCCCGTATTGATGGAAACCTTGACTACAGAGACCATGAGAAGGACCAGATGACCTGTCTGGATACTTTGGCAGCTTACTATGTTCAGCAAGCGCGTAAAGAGAAAAACAAAGATGCCAAGAAAGAGCTCATCACGCAGGCCACCCTGCTATATACTATGGCAGACAAGATCATCATGTACGACCAGGTTAGTAGCGTTTATCAGAGTGCTGCAGTGGCTCTAGTTGATGTTTTTTTAATCGATGTATAAATAACATGCATTTAAATATAACGTGTTGCTGTCTTGATCAGAACCACTTGTTGGGACGAGCCTGTTTCTGCTTGCTGGAAGGAGACAAAATGGATCAAGCTGACGCTCAGTTTCACTTTGTACTCAACCAGTCTACCAACAACATCCCTGCTTTGCTTGGTAAGTTGAGTTTTAAGAAAAGCCAGCAGTCTAGACTGCTYTAATGATGGATTTCAGTAATAACATTAGTGTTGTTTAACAGGTAAGGCCTGCATCTCCTTCAATAAAAAGGATTACAAAGGAGCACTGGCATACTACAAAAAGGCTTTGCGTACAAACCCCGGCTGCCCAGGTAAACATGTCTGTAAACACAACWACAGTCACGTAAGGGAGAAGTGAGGGGCACAACAGAGATGTTGCTGTTATTTTGTGAGTTAGAAGCTAGAAAGTTTGGGAACTGGTGTTTTATTTGTTTACTTACTAACTTTAGAAACATCACATGCAAACTTGTTATTTTCCACATAGTGTTTTTTTCTGGACATTGCTGTAATTCATCTGAAAAACAAAAACAAAACACAAAAACAAAATAAAAAGACAGAGAAAGGCAGAAAGTTTGGGTGGAGAAGTACGTTTTACTTGTGGGTTTTTGGAGAACTACACAGAAAAAGTTTCACTGCTCGGTGAGGAGGAGCATTGGGGAGTGTGAAAGAAAACCAAGTAAAATAAATGCCTCAATAAAAAGCTGAATAGAATGGAATAGAAAGAAACAGCCTTTATTGTCCCGCGTGGGGAAATTCGGGTGTAATAGCAGCAGCAAATACATGCACGCATAATCCACAGAAACAATATATTTCTATGTGACATTATCAACTGTAGCAATAATAATAGAATTAAAGATAGTAACAACAAAAATAAACATAGAATACAATAAAAAATAAGAATAATAATTAAAGAATAATAATTACTGTACCGGACTATCAGATGAAATTAGATAAAAATGAAAAAAAAAGTGGGGGGGGGGGGGGGGGGGCTGTGGCAGAGTGGTTAGGGGAGTCGTCGTCCTGGAACCGGAAGGTCGCCGGTTCGATCTCCCGTGCAGCTGTCTCAGTTGTTGTGTCCTTGGGCAAGACACTTAACCCCTAATGCCTCTGATGTGTGTCCCATCAGTGTATGAATGTGATTGGCACTGATTAGTCTCCATAGCTGATTGTACATGTTAGCTTTGTAGAGACCTAATAGAGTGCTGTGTGAATGGGTAAATGAGGACACAGATTGTAGTGTGAAGAGCTTTGAGTGTCCTGGATGGATAGAAAAGTGCTATATAAGTACAGTCCATTTACCATTTACCAAATTAAGGCCAGATACCATGCGGAAAAATACAAAATTACAAGAAAAAAACAGATCTGTTAAATGGAGTTGAACTCGGGAGTGCAAATTGGGTCAAACTAAGTCATTAAGTTAGTGTTCTAGTACAGGGAAAAAAGATGTACAATTACCACAGGTTATTCTTTACGTAATATGTAATGATTACGAGGTAGACTTGTTTGATGTGCAAACATAAACATGGATGCTTCTCAAGATTGTTGGGAGTGGTGATGGTTGTAAAGGCTAACAGCTGATGGCAGGAATGATCTGCGATAACATTCTTTTGTGCATTTAGGACAGAACAGTAATAGTTTATTTCAGTAATAGTTTGATAATACTTTGAATTTACACAAACTGTTTTTTTTTCTTCCCCATCTTCTCCAGCTGAGGTAAGGCTGGGAATGGGCCACTGTTTTGTGAAACTAAACAAACTGGAGAAGGCCCGTCTGGCTTTCGGTCGAGCTCTGGAGCTGAATTCAAAGTGTGTTGGAGCTCTGGTTGGTTTGGCGGTGTTGGAGCTCAACAACAAAGAGGCAGACTCCATCAAGAACGGAGTTCAGCTCCTGTCTCGAGCCTACACCATCGACCCCAGCAACCCCATGGTGCTTAACCACCTCGCTAACCACTTCTTCTTCAAAAAGGTAGTCAGCAGTTTGTTGCGCTTTGGATTCCTGACACAAGTGTAAAATCTGCCTCCTTTAACTGGTCTCTGTGTTCACTGTCAGGACTACAGTAAAGTGCAACATCTCGCCCTGCATGCGTTCCACAACACGGAGGTTGAGGCCATGCAGGCTGAGAGCTGCTATCAGTTAGCACGCTCATTCCACGTGCAGGTAAGGCCAAACCTGACTGACTGATCAGAGTTATCACTCTGTGGGTGTGTATAATATACCTTTCTTTTCTTCAGGAGGACTACGACCAGGCATTTCAGTATTATTACCAGGCCACTCAGTTTGCTTCATCCACCTTCGTGCTGCCCTTCTTTGGTCTTGGACAGATGTATGTGTATCGTAGAGACAAGGAAAATGCAGCTCAGTGCTTTGAAAAAGTGTTAAAGGCTTATCCCAACAACTATGAAACAATGAAAATCCTGGGGTCTCTTTATGCAGCGTCTGATGATCAGGAAAAGAGAGACATAGCAAAGGTAGGCTGTTTCTGCATCATCTGGCAAAGACACAATCTATGCAGTCTAAAGTTTTATGGTCACTGGTAAATTTTGGTACATGTTTTCGTGTCCTAGGGCCACTTGAAGAAGGTAACAGAGCAGTATCCAGATGATGTGGAGGCATGGATTGAACTGGCTCAGATCTTGGAGCAGACAGATATCCAAGGCGCGCTTTCGGCTTACGGCACGGCCACTCGCATCTTACAGGAGAAGGTCCAGGCTGACGTTCCCCCTGAGATCCTTAACAACCTGGGGGCTCTGCACTTCAGACTGGGGAACCTGGGAGAAGCAAAGGTAATAAACATCAGACAGTTCAGCTACAACCCCTGACAAAAAAGTGTGGAATCACCAGTCTTGGATGAGCACTCATTCAGACATTTCATTCTGTAAAACAAACTCAGATCAATAATAAGGTCATTCCAAAGTTCAACTTGTTGTGAAAGTCAGTGAATGTTACTTTTATTGATCAAGCACAGGAAAGAAAAATGYAATCACTCAGCCCTCCACGGTGTCATGACTGCAGGTGTTTTTAACTGCAGACTAACGAGCAGATCTAATCTGAGGCAGGTGTCCATTTAGGGATAGGAAATTGACAGGGTGTGTCCTTATTTTCTACCTCCAATTTGAGTGATTCCATACTTTTTTCCTCAGAATTGAGTGATTCCATACTTTTTGCCAGGGGTTGTATTTTCTGCAGAGACTGACTTCGAAAACCGAAAAGACAGATTTTTTAAAAATTTTATTTACAACGTTAATACATACATTTTACAACATGTTTATGTTCATAAACTGTCCAGAATTTGATGTTCAYCAGGATTACTCAGACTGATTGAAGGTTGACGCCATGTCTTTTCTCCAACAGAAATATTTTCTTGCATCCCTGGAGCGAGCCAAAGCTGAGGGAGAGCACGACGAGCATTACTACAATGCTATTTCTGTCACCACCTCCTACAACCTGGCCCGTTTGTACGAGGCCATGTGTGAATTCCACGAAGCTGAGAAACTCTACAAAAACATCCTCAGAGAACATCCCAACTATGTGGACTGTAAGCCTTCAACGTTTATGGCTGTGTCCAAATTCAGAGGCTGCGTCCGTCAAAGGCCGATTACACCACAGCGGTGCGCCAAACGCTGTCCAAATTCTGAGACTTCTCCAAATGTGACCCACAGATTTGTCCTCCTTTTCCCACAGTTTTAGAGACGGGTCTGGTGGATCATTATTTGCATAGACATGTTTTTTTTTTAATATTATTCTTGTCAGAAATCATTGTAAATGAGATCGTAAGATGGGTCCCTTAGTTCTTCAAGCACTACCTCTAAGCTAATTTTGTTCATTTATAATAATATATTTATTTTGTCACGGCCTTCTCAGCTTCAATGCCGTAATTATTCCAAACAAAAAAAAAAGAAGCTGTGGGTGGCAACAGGTGGTTTGTTTCTTGAACGCACTTCTGACTTGATTGTTTGAAAAATATATCATTTATTTCTAGCAACAAAAAAACAAACAAACAAAATAACTGATAATTTCTTGCAACTTGGGTGCAAATGAAAAATAATCCAATCTGATTTTTGAAGTTTCAAAAAGTGGTCAAAAAATAATTTTACCAAAACCACCCATCGTCACACCGGGCATTTGACAAACAAAAAACCATCTCCACCACGCCCCACCGTGTGTTCTAAATCACTTAAACTGATGGGAGGGTCTTAAAGTAATTATAACATTTCCAAATACAATAATTAAACTGCAGGTTTAGGTTACAAATTAACTTAAATACATTCCAACGGCCCAAATTGAAAACAAAAAACAAACAAACAACATCTATAATTTTTACAAAATTTCAAACATAAATGGCCATAAAATATATTTAGCTAATTTGATCTATTTTGGCTCTTCATTGCTTCTGTTTAGTGTCTTCACGATTACTAGGCGACAGGATATATGCCGGGGTGAAGGTGGGAATAAAGCTGAAGCATAGACCTAGACCTATTTCACAGCCACTTTCTTCTGGTCTTTGCGGTCGACAAAGAACCCGGCCCGGGTAGGCCGGTCCTTCGAAGGATGCAGCCCCTGAATTAGAGCACAGCTGATGTGGTAAAAATGTGCATGTTTTAAATTTACTTAGTACAGAACAGTTTTATTGATTTCTGGGCCTACAGGTTATTTACGTCTTGGTGCGATGGCTCGTGACAAAGGAAACTTCTACGAGGCTTCGGACTGGTTCAAAGAAGCCCTGCAGATCAATCAGGTACAAACTCACTGTTGTTTGACTATTACAACATCCTTCTATAAGACCTGAGGAAAAACCCTCAAACATGATCTTATTGTGTTTTTTTTTTTTTCCTGTGTGTGTAGGATCACCCAGACGCCTGGTCACTGATTGGAAACCTTCATTTAGCCAAACAGGAGTGGGGGCCAGGCCAAAAGAAGTTTGAGCGTATTCTGAAACAGCCGTCCACGCAGAACGACACATACTCCATGCTGGCCCTGGGGAACGTGTGGCTGCAGACCCTGCACCAGCCTACCAGAGACCGTGAAAAGGTGCACAAAGATTAGAGTTTTTCATTTATCTGACTGAGAAATGACAAACAGCAGYTGTGTGAATGCTGTTATTTTGTAATGTGTTTCTAATCTTTGAACTAAAAGGAGTSATTGGAGTAGAATGTATAAAATAACCAATTTATGATCATGTTTTAGGTTTACTTTTTACTTTMTCTTGTCAGATATTAGCCCCTCTARGWCTCAGATTGATTTAAGTTTWGTGTTTTACAAATTTCAGTATAAATGTGTCTGTAAATAAGCTTTAGGTGAATTTTAAAATTGATGGAAACAAGCTGAAAGAATTCAAAAATTTTTAGTTGGTAAATTCTCCAATTTAAAATCTGTCAACATTGTAGATTAAAATTTTTTTGAAG